GAGGAACTTCTTTACGTTGAGGATGGCAGAGCCCTGGAACAGGCTGCCCAGAGAGGTGGCGGAGTCTCCTTCTCTGGAGACATTCAAAACCCACCTGGACATGTTCCTGTGCAACCTGTTCTAGGTGGACCTGTTTTGGCAGGGGAGTTCTAACCTCATATCATTCTGTTATTCTATGATTCTGTAATACTGTGATTCTGTAATACTTAGGTGTCCTTGCCATTTTCTTTTGTGGAATTTAACTTTATTTTCTACAGAATTGAGCCCTGGGTTTCTTTCCTGTTTGTCTCAGTATTCTTATTCTTCTTAACAGTGTGCCTTTTTAGGCCTGACTAAGTGTATATTGATAATATAACACATTAGCCATGTTCAGAATTTCAGAATTCTGTGACGATTATACCCTGGTTAAGTTCAGCTCGTTACTGGTGGCAAAAACTAAAATCTGTTGGTCACCGCTTTCTCCAGCAAACACTAACTCAATGATTGTATAGGAAAAATGAAACCTTTTCTTCATCTTTACCTAATGTCCACTTTTCTTTGAATGCCAGAACCCCCAAATATTTTAATAAATTCCTCTGGTTCTCACCCAGTCTTTAAAAGTCTGATTACCTCATTTGGTCTAAGCTCTAATCGTTAGAGACACCAGTGCCTCAGGGTCTGTAAAATACACTTGCAAGCTGCACATTTGGGGCAGGTTCTTACCTACTATCATACAGCTCATTATCGGACAGATCAAAGTTCACTGAAATTAATAGAATCCTTTAATCTAGATTTTCCCTCTCAAACCTGCAAGAGGCTAAGTGCCCTCAGTCTTTGCAATTGCAGCTGAGAATTCAGCATGCTCTCTGTGAATTTAAGCTGACAAGGAACTGAATAGAAGTGTGGGCATACAATGATGCTTGAAGTGGTAGAAAACTGACATAAAAAAATGAAAACAAAGGGGGTTCCACATATACCTACAGGAAAATGTCCCTATCTAGACAAGATAATGGCCAGTCATAATAAAACAACCTATTATAAAATGTGATGGGAAATTACTTAAAGACTACTGGACGAGTTCAAAACTACATATAGAAGGTATGCTAGTAACTACCCTAATTACAAAAAGTAAACTGTTAAAAATAATTTTAAATTTAAATATAATGAAAAGACTAATTCAACCCTCAAGCAGAAACCTATCACTTTGACATTAATGCAGAGTTGGCAAGAAGGAACATGGTTTATTTTTAGTGACAAATATAAGATTTTGAAAGTACACATTAAAAAACCCACAAAAAATCAGTGCCACTTTCTTAAGTTGGATCAGTTAAACAGTAGATGTCCCTTACAGAAAATGTGTGTGTCTTTTTCTGACCAATATTTCAAGGATTATTTAAATTCCGTAACATCAATAGCTAATTCTGCAAGCCAGGCAGAGAGTATCTGGCCTCAGGATCATTCATTAATTACACAAAATAAAAAAACCGCTACCAGAATAAGCACGCAAGAAAACCCCACTGCATACATCTGATCCTCTGAGAAGGAGGTAAAGGACAATGATGTGCCGAGAGAGATTGCCCTTGAATGCATCCTCTCTCAGGAATGAAACTCACTCTGTTCTGAGATGTTGGGTAGCAACAAAACCTCCCTACCTGTTCTGAACAGCCAAAGAGCTAAAAAGATGAGGAACTGGTTTGCCCTAGATTTGTACAAGCCTTTTATCTTATGAATGAAGCTATCTCCCAGCTTGAAGAACAATGGAAGAATAATAGAAAAGGTGACGGTGCGGAAGAGAGAAAAAAAGGTAATTTGTTCCCACGAAGGGCAAATACAGTCACAGACTGGGAACACCAGATCAGATGTAACCAGCAAAGAGAAAAATCATTGAAACAAGCAAAAAGGATGCCATGGTCTTCAAAACAAGACCAGTTTTGTTATCTTCTCTGTTCTTGGGAGGACAGATGTCTGATATATTTATGCTGGTTTGTAACCTGGAAGATTAAGACTCATTTTCTGTGTTCTACTCTGCTTGTTTAATTTTTAGTAAGCCAGTTAGAGCTAGGCTTACAGGTATTCAGATATTACAAGAAACAAATATACCTAGAAGCTTTGTAGGATTACTTTTTTTTAAAGAGTATTAGTCCATGTGCTTTAACCATTTCAAAAGAAATTGGACAAAAATGCAAATTTGCTTTTAAAAACCCACTCTACACTTTTGATTAAATCCTTTAGAAGTCTGTCAAAAAACCCCTTTGCTAAAAGACAACATAATGCCTCCTTAAGTTAATGATCCACTGTGAGGACAGATCCATTACTACAGTAATGGCCCTTAACAAAGGATTTAGAAAAAAAGTAGATAGACTAGTTCAAGAGAGTTCAGCAAGGGAAGGCTGAACACTTTTTTGCTCAGAGCAATTTCTAAAAAGTGCAGAGATCAAAATGCCTACCTGGTGCCAGGAGGGTATTCCTTGGCATGGTCTACTGAGGGGATTGTACTATTATTTGGTTTTAAGAATTACCTATGGATATATTTCCTTTTACTCTGGAAAGATTACTCTGCTGCAGCAGTACTTTCCAGTTTATAACATTAATTCCCATTCTGCACACAAATGCCATTCTATCAGGTTTACGGGCCCAATCTACACAGTATTTCAGATGGGCTGCAAAGATCCGAAGTTGGGAACTGCCACTTCCATAGCTTTTCCAGCTTTGGCTTAGATGTTCAGTGTCAGCTGTAGGAACAGAGGTCAATATAGTCCATCCTAGCTAGCGATCTAGTATAAGGATCTATAAAAATCCAAATTATTGCATGCTAATATAGAGGTCAGCTTCTTAGCTTTCATCCATCACTGTTCCATTGACTTCAACCAAGCTATTACAATTCATAAAAGCTGAAGGTCTTCAGTTGGTTCCTGACTTTTAAAATAAAGACCTGAAATACCTTCTGAAACATCTTTCAGCAAAACTTAATCATCATTTTTGCAAAAGAATGATAAATAATGTACCACCATCTTAACTGGGGCACTTCCACTGAAAGAAAAAAAATGGTCATAAAATAATAATCTGACCTAATTTTAAGAAGTTTATAAAAATGCATTATGCTGACCACTAAACTTAGATGTATAATTTAGATTACTTTGCATGTATGACTCAGTAAGCATCAGATCATTCAGAAAGTAGCATGAAGTGAACATGATGGTCTTGCAGTATTCCTGGTTACTGCAGTAAACACCACTTCTTACATCTTATTTAGTGTGAATAAATTTAAAAATCATGCCAAACCATGATTTATAGGGGTTTTCTACAATGGGGTATTTTGTTACTATCCAGGTAAATATGCCCAAATTGGCCTGTTCCTTCTGAGTAACTGCATTACTGCTGTAACCACACTAACTTTTTCTCACCTCCAGGTACCTTCCACAGAGCTCAATCATCACCACCAGTCCTTTCCTGAAGACAGATCTTTTGACACTGCATCTCCGTGGATGATCTGTACAGATCCTGCCTCACCACTGCCATCCTTCAAAAGATCCCTTCAGGCTGACCTTTCTTTTTTTCCATGTGATCAACAGTCATTTTTTTGTTTGATAAGTTTGACAGTCTGGAAATACACCCAAAGTCAGTCACGTCCCATCTGCACTATTTGCAAGCCTCTAGGCATTTGTGTCTGCTCCAAGATTTTTGCAGTCGTTCTGCTACCTGGCTGCTTCACCCCAAATGTCTGCTGCAGACAAACACACAGTGACACTGGATAGAATCCAAAATATCTCCTGCTGACTCTGAAGTCAGACGGCCAGGCACAGCAGAAGGCAAAACCTTTAGCACCTATCTCTCCTTAGGCCTTGCTAATATCTTAGTTCCACAAAGTAAAACGTCTCTATGTTACAATTTGTCTGAAATGCTCCGAGTGCCAGCTGAAATGGCAGCTGGACTGTTTTTTCTTGCCCAACGTGTCCCCTCTTTTCTGCACTGCAAGGGATCAGTCCTAGCACATAGATTAGGCATTTGACAAATTAATTTCTTAAGTACTTTCCCAGCATCTGATTGCTGGTTTGGTGAACATCTGGTGTGAAATCAGATGGAAGAGCTACAAGTGGCCAAGAAGTATGGATAATGTACAGAAATACTGTATGTAACCACTAGAAGCCTTCATCTTCTTTCTCAAAAATCTTTATGCCTTTCTCTGTGCAATACAATGTGAAATAGTTGTACAAAAATTGAACCGTTTGAAAACCTCACAAAACATAAAGGAAGAAAGTATATTAGGAATTTCACAAACTACTGGCACCAAACTTTGTTCTGCTCTCTCTCAATATTACTGTCATTTTGTGTATGTACGTGCAATTTGAAGAGCAGTGAGAATTGACTTCGGGTCAGATATGTTGTAACCTGCACTATCGACTTTCCCAGTAGTCCGTACTTCCTTGCAATGAGCCTTGTTTGTATAAATGCTCCTGCACAGTGGCAAAACCTGTGACGGGTCACATTGAGGCCAACAACCGCAAATGAAGCGTAATCACTTTCATGGCATATTCTGCAGCAGTCTCTGACTCAAATTCTCATAACTCTTTACACCAGCTAACATGTTCAGTCAATCTATTATCTTTCTAAGTTGAGAGGAAAAGTAATGTACTCTCTTTTGTTTAAGGTTCCAAATAAATTACTGTGACATACTCCACAAAAAATAAACAAGAGACTATACAAGTGCCACAGATTTCGAATTACTTTTGGGGCTAAGATGATCGGTGCTGAACCCCACAGGTTTTTGAGATTGGACAGAGCATGCGCTCCACTGTAACAGATGATTTAGGGCATGACATGTATTGCTAACTGCCATTCAAAGTCACTTCTTGCCCTTCAAAGTGCCACTACCTTAAAAAAAATCAATACAAGATTAATTATAGAAAGGAACTGGTGTGGACTGTCTACAGTGAACTCTATTTCTTGCACACATAAGTATTTATTGAGCCATTACAGGTGAAAAATTAGGTGCTAAGTATGTGATGCTAGATAATACTCACAGCAACCGCCTCCAGGATTTGTTTAACAGCGTCAGCAGCATCTCGTTCACTATAGTAACCCTTTTCCACAATCCTACAGAAAAAGCACAGGAGAAATTGTGTTCAGTGTTATGCATTAAGGTAAATAAACTGTGCCGGCAAAAGCTTCTTTTCAAAAATGAGCTAGAAAACAATCAAATTTAAATATGACCAGCACTCTGGTGGGCCTCCTAAAGAATAGAAAACAACGCTTTTGCAATTTAAGTTACCTTTGATTCCCAGTTAAATGAAAAATTGGAGACAAAATATTAAGTAGATAATGCTCATAATATATACACGTTCAGTTGAAAGGTTTTGGAATTTTCTGAAATTCAGGAAATCTGAATTACTCTCAAATAAAACTAGGTATCCTTTAGGAACTGCTTTTTCACTTTTTTACATAAACCTAATCTTCCCCCCGCCCTTATTTATTTATTTATTTATTAAACAAAAGCACTGTGCTATTCACACACAGATCTGAATTATTCAAGTTAAAGGGTTGGTGTAAAAATTTAGTAGCTTCAAATTATCCCTTAAGTAAAATGCGATGAACACTTCTATTTTTTTCCTATCAGTAGAAAACTGGGTGCTCTGTAGCTAAAGAAACACAGTTTCATTAAAACTAAAACTATAGGTTTTTCTCTTAATGTAAATAACCTGTATGCCATGTTTATTATGTATAGATGACATGTTATAGCTTGATTTTGTAAATAGGCTGACCATGTGCACCTTATTGTGAGTTCAGCAATATTTATGAGTTCTGAAGATCCAGAAAACTTGGTTGTCTTTCTCCCTTTGCTTTTACATCACTTGAACCTCATTACAACAAACAAAACCTCAACTTTCTTCATTAGTACTGTTATTTCCCTGGAACCTTACCATGATAAAAACATCAAGAAAGAAAATACTTTTTTGTGTTACGATGACGTTCTGAAGCGTTGAATTTCAACATGTTATATCCTATGCTGCCGAGAAAGGGCAGCAAGGGTTATTGCAGAATTGTGGGTTGGCCTCCTGTAGCCCAGCTGTGCTACCTCAAGTCTATCAGAAGAACACGGCCAGTGGCACAGGGTCTGGGGACTGACTCAGGATTTGTACTGCATGTTCTCCAAGAACTGCCATTACAGAATGAAACATTACATAAACCCATAGTTCAGTTTAATCAGAGTCAGCAAAAGACACAGATTTGCACTGTAAGAAATTAATAAAAGAAGGATCTACCATTAACACATACTAATGCTCCATTTAAAACACCCAACAGTCTTTTTACTATTGTATTTAACTACACAGAGTGTAGTCTCCCTCAGAGATTTACCTTAAAGGTCAGTTCTTTGACCTGAAAGTTCAGTTTTTACTACATTCATTTTTCAAAACCCAAGAAAACACAGACAGATGCTGTCTAGAAACAGAACCTGTGGTACCTATGAGACATTTTATAAAACAATCTCCTGCAAACACACGAGCCAGTTTTACAAAACAGTGTTCTAAATCCCCCATGAAGCAGGACAGTAGGAAGCCTATAATGTCTGAAGACAAAAGTTGCTGGAAAGACCTTCTGCCTCAGGGTCCAGAAACAGACTCTACTTGTGGTAAGAAGGATATACTTCTTTCTCTTTATTTCTCCCGTTTTGCAGTATCTTTTAATCCCTTCTCCAAAATAACAGACTCACATAGAGCTACTGTCAGTGCAACTCCTTACAGCTTTACAAAAGCTGACAGGAAAGATGTTGACTAATGTACATATGAAAAGCATTATTCCATACTCATTAGATGATTATACGGATTAAGAAACAATGCAAAGATAAAAATCCACCAGAAACAGATGTAACAAGCATGGCACTGCGGAAAATAGCCTATACAGGGATACTCCTAACCAGCTGCTATCGCTTTACCTTAACAGCCATTGTGTTCACAAACATCTAAGTCTATTCAGGCGGCACCAGTAACAGCGAGCAATTCCTCTCAAGTGGGAGTTTTTCTATTTCACCATGATTTCTTGGCTGCATAATTATTTGGCCTTATTTCTAGAAGCCTTTTTTTCTGGCAGCCCTTCAGCTACCATTCCATATGCACTGCCTTACCTTCTTTGCATTTTTGTACCTCCAGCCCTTCCTCTGCTTTGGTCATCTGTTTAAACCATCAGGGAGAACTTTACTTGAACTTACCACCTTATCGTTGAACAACAAGGATAAAAAAAGCAAATTTTACTCAATGAGACATTATGTTAGGCTTTTAGCATCAAGTTTGGGAAAGAGGTTACAAATAAATCATAAATAAAATGCTACATTATGCTTGAAAGTAAGATTCTTCCTTAGATATTTCAGGCTGAATCATCCCCCTCTGGTGGGTCACATGGTGAGACCTGAGCCCTGCTGACCCTCTTGCTTGGGCCTTTGTTCCCCCAAATATACTAGTTTGGCTTCCTCCTCCTTTTTAATTCAAACAAAGTATTCAGCAAGAGCCAGCAGGTTCCTGTCTGTAGCATCCATAAGCCAGAAACAAGAGAAATTGATGCTCAAGACTGCCTTCTTGATCACAGCGTGTAAAACCTAGCCCACCCTAATTTAGACAACTATATGTTGGTAGGGGCAGGTTACTGCTCTCATTATTTACGTTAAACATGCAACAGAAGAAGTGCACAGGCACTGAAGGTGAACCCATTGTGAATTTACACTTTGCAATCTATAAATGTAATGAAGTGTGGGTCCATATTTCAGGAGAGCAATAAAACCAACTACAGAATTATTCTGCAACGCACCTGACTCATCCGCTGATGTTACATGTGAATAACGTGCACTGGCAAAGCCAATTACAGCTTATGTCACACGCAGTTAACTTCCTATTTTTTTCAGAAGTCTAGAATCCAGACTTGTTGAGAATACAAATCTAATTCTTAATAATAATGTGGCAAGTAGCAAACCTAATTTTCTTTAACAGCAGTACATGAAAAAAGACGTACTTCTTGCTAAAGACGAAAATTTATTTCTAAGGGCACTGTGCTTTAAAACTAAAACCTGGCTATTAGGCAGTAGGGAAGAGTACTGAGAGAAGATTACCCTGTAGTTTAGGTCCTGTAACAATGCTGGGGGATGATTTGCATATCTATTTTTTCCATCCACCCTGCGATAGTTTACATAATACAAATGGTTGGTGTGCCAGTTTGCTTTATTATAACAACACTCCTACCTGAGACCAATGAAGCTTCTTTACAAGGATTTTTCATTTTCAGCCTGCAAATTAACAGTGACTCATTGCCCTTTTTCCTTAATGGGAAGGAAACCTGCAGAAATGTCTTATTTCGTATTATGGAAGCAAACCCAATTATTTATACTTAGTTTACAGAATGGTCCTTAAGAAAAGCATGGATGAAGAAAGATTAAACACTCATTGAGAGGACAGAAAGACAGGAACAGCAACAATAAGGAACTAATTAAATACTCTCTTTGATATGTAAATGAAAGAGCCAGGTAGGCCAAAAGAGCGGTGGAGAGAAAAACTGTGAGGAAGACAGCAGGGAATCCAGAAGAAGCAGAAGAAGGGATGCAGAAATGCTCGAAGTCAAAGAACAAAAAAGCTTGGAAAACCAAGGAATTTGGTGTTGCAAACATCCAGGAAATTCAAGACAGCACTTCAAATCGAAGATGACACTCTAGAGCAAGCAAGAATGTGAAGTGGCTAAGATTCTATTCTAATCACATTTGTGTAGAATCACTTTTTTATGTTTGCATGTATGTATTTATTGAAATACGCTGATTCAGTTGTTTACACTTGTATATCTAACACATCACATCTAACAGAGTATGTACTGATGGACACCGAGCTACAGGCCTCCTAAAACACAACCTAGTGTTTAATCTTGTCTTTCCAAGCACATGTGAACATATTCGAGACAAATCTGCCTCTTTCTATGAAGAGAAGCAGGGAAGTTCCTTCCTCGCCACCAGAGATGGAGACGCCCCTTGGGAACAGACCTATTCACTTGGGTGTCGAGATGTGTCCCTGCCTGCCTGCAGGGTCCACTCACCCGACAGAGCCCACCCCACTGTCCAACCTGAACCAGAGCTCACGGACGCCCCACCAAAGCTGCTGCTAGAAGCTCACAGGTGGAAAAGCCTTGGGCTGCCAGGTGACAGAGCTACAAAAAACTTAGTACTGAGCAAAAGGGGAAAAGGGCACTAGGCTAAGAGTTAACAAAGCTCACGGTCAGAGCTTTAAGCCAATAGTTAAGAGGGAAGGGGACAAAACCAGGCCCGCTGGTAATGAACCTGAGTGTCAAGGGCCAAAGATGGAGGTGAAATCAATAGCCCAGGTCAAGTGCATCTACGCTAATGCACGTATCATGGGCAACAAACAGGATGAGCTAGAAGCCATCGTGCGGCAGGACAGCAACGACATAGTAGCCATCACGGAAACGTGGTGGGATGATAGTCATGACTGGAATGCTGCAATGAGCGGCTATAAGCTCTTCAAAAGGAATAGGCAAGGAAGGGGAGGGGGGGGGGG